TTTCTAAGGAAATTTTTATTTTATTTTAGCACCTTTTGTTCTTCAGTAAGAAGTACTTTAATTTCTAGCCATTTTGAAGGTTTGGATAAAATTTACTTTTATAATACATAGAGTTTATTTTCAGAATGCTCCATAGTTCAGAAATATTTACTGCAAAATTTGTACTTAACAAACAGTTTCCATTTCTTTCTCCAATTTTTTTTTTTGATCGATTATAGTTTCTTTCTTGCATCAAGCAAACTAGACTTTAGTCAAATGGTTCCATTGATCAGCTTGCATGTATAATACTTGAGACTACTATATGAGACCTCTCCATGGTGTCTGTCATCCGAGGGCCTAGTGTGATCTATGAGTTTCCTGCTCTGAATTTATGTCTATTTCATCACATTAAAACTGTGAGGCATTTAATGACATTTGTTTCTATCGTCTCAGCATCTTTCAATATATCCATGCTGTTATTTCTCTTTTATTGTTCCTGTATCTAGTTATAAACAAAGCAACAAATGCCTGAAAGTCTCACCTTCAATTTTTCAATTTAAATCCTTGATTAATGAGATGGAAGAGCTGCCTAATGTTGATAATGCCCTTTAAGTGGCAATAAATGATAAAAACAGGTTGATGCAGAATGAATTGGTGAGGTTATGAGGCAGGTGTGAAATCTAGCTGGTGTGAAGAGATAGGAAGGACACAGAGCAAAATGAGGCAGCCAGAATGTGGCAAAAATTATAGAGCTAAAACAGTGACATCTGCTCTGGGTGGAATTTTTTCAGCTAAATCCAGGCACCTGGAAGTTAGACATCTATTTTATTGCATCATCATCCTCCATGCCTTCCTTTTCAGTCAGTGGGAAGACTGACCCACCTTGGAGATAATTGTTTCCTCTCAGGGAGTTAAAGTGAACTTGGGCAGTGAACTTGTCCCCAGGATGACTGATTGTTTTTCAGTCTACCCCTTGTATTTGTCTGGTTCCTCTTAGAAGGTTTCCCCCAGTAACTGTGAGCAGCTGGTGATGTCCCATGTACTTTACACATTGCTGCTTTGGCACACTAATAAGCAGCCAATTCCTGGACTCTAGATCTCTTTCTTAGCTGTAACAATGCACCCATTAGACAGCTTTGTCACCGCATGTCTTCTCTTCCTCTATCATACCAGGTTGTATTTTGGAATTGCCCCAAAGTCTCCTTAGATAATAAAATCAGATTGTGTCCAGCTATCTGTAAGTCTTCTAAATAGAAAAGGAAAATGTGCAGGGTCACAGAGATAATGCTGCTTTCATCTCTGGATGCCTTTTTAAAAAATACATAGATTTTCCTTGTTTTTTCCTGATTCTCCCACTGAAAGTAACAAAACAAAAGTGGCATATTGTGTCAGACCCTGTGAAGCCAACTGACTTCTCCCCATCGACCCTTTCTTCTTGCAAAAAGATATAGTTATGATGTACAACCAGATTTCAGGACCTCTGACTGTGTGACCGCAAATTAATCCCAAACAGCATAACCTGGAATCCCTGAGTTTTGTTGCACAGAAGGACTCCATCATATAAACTTGCCAGGCCTTGTAGAAGTCTTGAGATTTTCAGAAAGGCTGTGGGATTTCAGGGTATGCTTTTCTGGCATAGCGCTTCAGGCACATTTGTGAGGATTTACAGAACTCAAAGATCCCAGTTTTTCCAGCATTCATTGCTTCAGTCGTGCACCCCTCAGGATACCTAGCCATAGAGACCTGGGACCTGCAAAGACTCTCATCTCAGCTGTCAAGGTGAAATTGCCCTAGAGTTATGGATTTTGGCAATAAACCTTAAGACTTTGCTTCTTCAAAGATATCCCTTCAAAGGACTTGTCTGAGAAGCTCTGCTGCGCATGCATGGATTGCATGTCCATCACAAACAGCATCCATCAGTCAGTCTAGCTTCGAGTTCTCTGGAGTCCCACAAGATCTCAATAGCTGTATTTATATATGGAGTTTGCAATAAGATGCTTTAACTGTCAAGAAACACTAGACCATCATGTCTCTGTTAGAACCAACAAAAATGCAGGTTTTCTAGTTTTCCATTATTATTTGCATGAAAAGAACAAGCCCCGGCATTGGGATGAACATAAAAGATGTTTTGACGGAGAAAAAAAGTAGGACCATCACCGTTACAATGTCAAAGCATACTTGGAACTTTCAGCTTCCAGATGACTTCAACATTGCTGGTAGTACAGAATAGTTGTGTTTCTAATTCAAAATTATCAGATTTACAATAGCCATATACTCTCTTCCACTATTCTATAATAGGTCAGTATTTCACCATTAGTGTCAACTTTACAATTACATTTCATTTTCTGAAGTCTAGGCGGTGCTTGGAAAAACAGTCTGGCTTTTCACTCACAAAACAGAATAAATGCAGCAGCATTAGTCAGATTTTTTTTTTAAATCTGTACATAATTTTATTGTATTTTAGGCACTGCTATCAAAGCATATGATGCTGAGCAACAGTCTTACAGGGAATAGCCCTGGTGCATTTGTGTCAGATCACATCTTTGGCTAGTTGTGAATCATGGAATATCTTGGCAGAAGACTTCAACTTGCTTCAGCATACATGTTAATTAATCCTTCCAATTTATTTCTGCTCTTTTTTCTTTAAAGTGTATTTTAAGGAGAATGCATAACTGATGAACTGCAAAAAAAAGTTTATTTAGTTCTATGAATGTGTGTATTGATTTCTGTAAAGCCTTTTTATTTGGAAATCTTCTATTAGTGCAGCCGTCTGCTTTCTGTGCCCTAATAGTCTTCTCAGTGTCAAGATCCTGGGGCTACATCTGTAACATTAAATAAAATGAAGCAAGGAACTGTTCTCTAACACTGAGGCTTAGGGGCCATATCCATATTACACAGTCTTTGGCTCCAGGTCTCTTCAAGCTCCTGCAGCAGAGCGGCGATCTTTATGTGCCATTCTGCAGGTAAAGCAGGGGTGATTCAAAGCAGCATCTGAAAAGTGAGGGATACATTGCAGCCCACAAAACAGATGCTTTTATGACTTGACGATGCTTAACATGTTCTACCTAAAAGAAGAGCAAGCAGGGATATGTGCCATTACGCGGATGGCATGTTGAAGGTTGGAGGGGACTGTGTAGGGAACGGAGAACCATCATGTTCATACCGTGTCTCAGGAGTGATCACCTCTTTGAAGAGTAAGTGATTAGGTCGTTTCACAGGCTGAAACAGACACGCATTTAGGAGCCTGCCTGGTAGCCCTACAACTGTATGGTCTCTCTGTGATGACACTTGGGCAGTTAATAGCAGCAGTGGATGCTCTTAGTGTATATTGACTCCTGCCATGCAATAATGTTCACCTCTTTTGTCACTGTGACTCATTACAACTGATAATAGCTTCTTAACAGTGCTATATTCTTTGTATTAGCTTTATCTGACAACCTAAAGATAGATTTGCAGTCAGCCTGTTTAAGCTGTTGTAGACACTAAAATGGACGTAGCCCACTTTCCTGTCTAACATCTTCCCACCATGGTCCTTTCTCAGAATGTGTGCCACAGCTCTGCAGAATGTTGAAACAGTGATGGTGACATGGCTGAAAATGAACCTTATGAAAGTAAAAGTTGCTGGACTTATCTAATGATTCAGATACCTCTGAGGCTCGTGTTTACTGATGATGACACAAAGAAACAAGATGGGAATATGTGTCTGAGATCTGAGGGGAGAAGGTGGTGAAGAAAGGAACATTTCCTTTTGAAAGCTATCAGGAGACAGAAAGACTCAAGACAAAGCATTACAAAATTAAATATTACTCCTCCCATCTGTCCCCCTCCTGCCTTCCAAATAACTGAGAAACCTACTTATCACAAATAAGAATAGACCAGGAATTACTGCTTAGGGATCATGTCTGGGAGAAGACACATTTCCAATGCAGTCAACTAGAAGACCATTGAAACAAAATGTTTAGCTTCAAGGTTAATTAAGTCCAGACTAGAGTGAAGCAGGACTCTGTAGGCCCCTGCATGAAATCTGTTTGACATTTTCTAAAGGAACAGGTAATAAGCAGGTGGAGAAAAGCCATATTGAAATAACTTTATCTCAACATCTATATGTGAGAGACTGGTCTCCTTCATGGTGAATTTTGTCCTTTTAATGAGCACAAAAGTAAGAAATTTCTTTAAGAAAATAATTAACTGAAAAATTAAAAGCTCTATTGGTATAATTAAAAAAAAAAGCCCTGTAGATAATAATACTAAATATGCATCCAAATGTTCCATGTTGTTCTATCATACCATATTATACAATAATATGGAGTGTATTTTTCAGAGAGATTTTAATGTGTTATAACATTGAAGAATCTCCACACAGTTGTCTCTGGAACAATTAAACCAAGTTCCTGTAAGACGACTTGCAAAATTTCCCACAGGGATTGAATATTTCTGTATCACTTTGTGTCTAGCACAATGCACACCTGAAAAGAGTTTCCATTCCTTTATGTCCCAAAGAAAGGAGTCAATAAAAATATTCTGCTGGAAACACTACTCTTTCCTATGGAAATAGGAGACTTTAGCTCAACACTGACAACGACAGAAATTCTCTTCCCTACTGTGTGGGTTCCAGTTGCAATAAACTAATGTGTAGGACTGACTCCTGCAGTCATAAATTTTCCAATTTGAGTTATATTGCAGCAGATACCAGTGTCAGAGTTGGCAAAGGTGACTGGTTTTAAGACCCATTTTGTCCTTATTAGGATACAATGGGAAAAGAAATTGAAGAAAGCCAAATAAATAGCCCTTGTACAAACAGTTCTTTTTTTTTTGTTTTGTTTTGCCTAGAAAATTAATTCCAGAAACATTGCTGGGAAGATAAAATTTTGACTAACAAGATATGTAATTTAGAGCATTTATCCACCTTCCCTTTATAATTAATGTAAAGGAGAATCAATCCATTGTGAGATAAGTGTTTAGAATAGTCACACACTTCTTTATTTAATATTTATGCTTAATGAATTATGTTCTATTTACAGGTTTTATCTGGGGTGAAATTAAACAGATGTGGGATGGTGGACTACAGGACTACATTCATGATTGGTGGAATCTCATGGATTTTGTAATGAACTCCTTGTACTTAGCAACAATCTCTTTGAAAATTGTTGCATTTTCAAAGGTAAACTTTTTTCAAAAAAATCTGCAAAATATTTAAGATAAATGAAATCAGGCTTCTTCAAACTTTATTTTGTATTTGGATGTTCTCAGGCTTACCAGAGCAAGAGATGTATGACATGTTCATTCACTGCAGCTATGAGAAGTAGCTGGGCCAGGATAAGAGTTAACAAATTATGGCGACTTATATGGTTTTCTTCTTGGCCCGGCAATCTTCTGTTATTTGAGCCTAAACAGTTGTACTGTCATTTTCTTAGAAAAGGAAAATGACTGTTAATATTTATTAATGTTTGCACAAAATGATATTTGGTGTATCTTTACCTATTTTTCATTAAGAAATTATTGTCCCCAGGACAATCTTACACTCTATGCAGAACTTCTGGACAGGACTACAGGAAAATAGTAGGTGAAAAAGAAAAGATAAAGAGCAAGGTTTTAATCTTGTTTTGAAACTTTATTATAAATGCAACATTAGAAAGTAAAGCTGAAGGGGATAAAATGGTCACTTGAGGCTGGGTATGTTAATTTTCTCATCCTTTTCATGGGCTTCTTATGAATAGTTTTATATTCCTAACGTTTGAAGTATCTTCCAGCAAAACAGTCCTTCAGCCCTACTTTTGAAAGCCATGAAACATGTTGCATTTTGTATATATTCAACAGGAATCCATAATAAGACAGAAAATTCCACAGAAAATGCAATATTTTAATCAAAAATGCTCTCAAGTGCAAGGAAACTACATCTGAAAGGATGTGAAAGTTCTTAGCATCTGTTGTAGAGCTCTTATCACATCCAAGTAAAGATAACAAACCCATTTTTTCTGACCACTGTGATCAGCATTGTGCATCAGCTCTTTCAAGTTCCTTGTCACCAGCTACCCTGTGTGCATAGAAGGAAAGTCTCTCCTCTGCCAAGATCCTTTTGGCTGGAAAGAGGAGACAGCCATCAAGTAGCTGGTTACAGCTCCCTTTTCTCAAACAGCAGCTGTTCGTGCTGAAGCCCTGACATAAGTATAGAGTAACAGAGGAACCCCTAATTTATATCATCTTGTGTCTATTCAAAAGTGTCCACATGCCGGCTGATCAGGGGCAGGGATGAGCAGGAAGATCTGTTGACACATCAGCCTCCTCCTGTGACAAAAGGTTTCTGGCATACTGGTCTTCTGGCTGCAAACCTCTGGAAGTCTTCTCAGTCAAAGAAATTTGGAGTTGCTGCCTGAAAAAAACAAGATGCTGAGAGCGTGAGGAGAGCTGTCATTTAAATCTGATGAAATGCCTTTTTACACACAAGGTTGTCTTATAAAGTCACTGGAAAATCAATAGCCACTTCACTCTCCTTGTAACAAAGCAAGCAGTTCATTGAAAACACGTGTTTCCAAAGCATTGGAGATGGCTAATTATTCACTTTAGAATAATATTAATTAGAAGACATTATAATCCTTTCATCTTCCAGACAGCTTCTGCTTGTGGTAATCAGATTCCAAGGTGACAGTGTCTGGGATAATGTGCGCCCATTACTTTCCGAATTAGTGCTTGCATGCAAATCATAATCAACAGAGTGCAGAAAACGCTATCTCTGGTTCTGTGGATTTCTTTTTTTTTTTTTTCTTTTACTGCATTTGTGATATTGCACACAAATACCTTTTTGTTCCTTAAAAAAGCCTCAGAAATGGATGATGATGTAATGAGCAGAGTAGTGCAAGTGCAATTTAATACCCACATTTCCTTCAAATACCTACAACAAAGTTCCCCATCTCTATGCCAGATGTTGTTGAAAGGATGCCAAATACAACCAGTACGTTTTGATGCAAAGCTTTTATTTTCATTTCTTAGACTGTGCAAGCTAGGTTTTTCTAAAGTACCTTTTTTTTCTGTATTTATTGAACCAAAAGCTTAAGCCCAGTTCTTAGACATATTCTACCTTCCCTGAATCAGCTCAAACCACCTAAAACATTTTAATCATTCCCTTGAATAAAATTATGAGTGCCCTCATACTACTCTCCCATGTGATAACTGTTCCCAGGGAAAAACATTGTGTTTACTTGCCCATTCGAGGCTCTCTGACTGACATAGTAGCTATGCAGAGGGATATTATTTATGGCAGCTGATGGGATAGTGTAAAATACACCAAAGAGTGTAATTTCAGGATGACAGAACTGCTAAGATAAGCCAAAGTTGTCTGTTTCATTGCCAGTATTTAAATAAAGTGACTGCATCTCATATTTTTCAAAGGGCTATACTTTTTGTTTCTGATTCTATATCACCATGTGAGGTATTTTTAAATTATGCAGTATATCCACTGAAAGTGCTTTCTCCCTGATAAATAATGTCATTATATGTGGTACATTTTCATATGTTTTATGAGAGCACAAGATGACAGATTTTAAGCAACACATCTGTTTTCATGGAGAAGGAAAGAGAAATAGAAATCAAATGGAAGTTGTAGTGCTCTAAGAAAAAAAAAAGGGTTTTTTGAAAATAATTTGTTTTGTGCTGATATTTGAAGATAGGTGCAGTGCCAATTTATGTGCAAACCATGCTTGCCTTATCTTAAATATTTGTTAAACCTGAGCATTGGACCTGATGCTTCTTGTTTCCAATTCTGCTAGAAATTGCATACAAGTCTGTATTGCTGATTATGTGTCGCAGCCACTGACCTGAAAAGGTCGTAGAGAAACAGGTTCATATTCAAGGCAAGAATTCTAAGAAGTAAGAAAAAATATGTTATGTGTCTCAATATTTACTGGCTTAATGATAGCTATGTCAGATCTACCCTGTTCAGTAGTAAATAAGCTTGTATTTCTCTTCTGCTACTAGTTCTGTAGAAACTAACAACTTCTTATATATGGTTGCACTGGAAAATTATTTGATTGATGTTTCACCCAATTCACAGAACAAATGGCCATTTGCATAGGAGTATTAACCCTCCTCCCTCCATTAAAAATTATAGACTTGATCCCTCAGTGTAATTATTGTTTTAAAGATCTTTGCTAGACCATCCCCCTGCCCTCCTCCTACTGCTGTACTGAAATTCAGCATAATGAGTGCAAAGATTGCAATATACATTTTAAAATGGGAAGAGTTCATACTTGCATATGACCTTTCAGGAAAATATTTGAAGTATTGTTCCTGAAAAAGATATTATTCAATCTTTCTTTTTGTTATCAGGAGGCTCCCATTTGAACAAGATTCAACAGCTCATTAAACATTCAGGTAGCCTGATCCATATGTCCCTTTGATCTCTCTTGGCTCTTTCATGAGATCTACAGTTCATGACTTCTGTTTTCATGGGAAAGCAGTGATCAGTCAGTGTTTTTTCTCACAAATGGTTCTGATCTTAGATTTGCATTTGAATTCCTTTGAGTAAGGATCAAGAATTATTGTACTGTATTCCCTGGGTGACATCAGACAATCACCGTATATTTGCCTTGAAACTCTACTGTTTATGCCCTGCTTAATTTGTTTTCTGTTCTTAATTTCCATTGATGTGCCATGTACATTTCCTTGAACAGACCAGCTAGTGAGTGATGAGTATTGTATGCTTGTATATGAGCAAATAAAACTGTGCTGGGGATTGCTGTCAGGCACGGCGACTTTCTTTTAATCAATCAATTAGAGCAACCCCAGTGTGGTGGGATCCCGTGCCAACTAGCACTGTCCAAAACAACGCCCAGTTCCAATCTGCAATTTGAATCATAGAATAGTGTGGGTTGGAAAGGACTTTTCAAGGTCATCTAGTCCAAAGCTCCTACAGTAAGCAGGGACAGTTTTAACTAGATCAGTTTGCTCAGAGCTCCCTCCAACCTGACCTTGAGTGTTTCCATGGACGGGGCCATGTACCATTTCTCTGGGAAACCTGTTCCAGTGGTTTACCACTCTCATAATTTTTTTTTCTTATATCTGGCTGAATCTCTGCTCTTTTAGATTAAATCCATTAACCCTTGTCCTATCAGTACAGGCCCTATTGAAAAGTGTTCTTCATGTTTCCTATAAACTCCCTTCAAGCCTCTCTTTCCTGTAAGCCTCCGCCCTTGAAAGGCCACAATAAGGTGTCCTCAGAGCCTTCTCTTCTCTAGTTTGAACAATCCCAACTGTCTCAATCTTTCTTCATAGGAGAGATGTTCCAGCCCTCCAACCATTTTCGTGGTCCTCCTCTGGACCTGCTGCAACAAATCCATGTCTTTCCTGTATGGAGGACTCCACAACTGGACACAATACTCCAGGTGGTTTCTCACCAGAGAAGAGTAGAGGGGCACAATCACCTCCCTTGACCTGCTGGCCATGCTTCTTTTGATACAGATGAAGGCACAGCTGTCCTTCTGGGCTAAGAGAACACATTGCTGGCTCATGTCCAGTTTTTCATCCACCACTACCCGCAGATCCCTGCAATGTTTCCTGTTTTCCGCTTGCCAGCCACTTCACCAGACTGACATAATTTTTCAAGTGGCTTGGCAACTACATCAGCCATTTCCCTCAGGACTCTGTTCCCATATGCTTATGTACGTTCAGATTCCTCAGGTGGTCTCGAACTACTCTGAGAGCAGTCACCTTCTTTGGAGTGTGAGTGTTGTGTGTAAATACTGTGATGCTGGGCTATGTTGTTTCATTTGGCCACAGTGACACAGAAGAATCCCTTTTCTTTCTACTGAGGGAACGCTCAGCAGCCATGAAGGATTCATCTGAATGACTTATAGGACATAAATACAGACTCCACTATAGTTCCTCTTTGAACTCTACCTCATATTATATTATCCCTTCAATTTAGAGCACTTCATAGAAAAGATTCTGTCCTCTGATACATTCTGTATCAGATTAATGAGACCAAATAAATAATAATGAGTCTGCCACAGTAGTTAAGCCTCAGTTCGTAGTAACACCTACCATTTTCAAGAAAATTTTTGGTACAGCTGAAACAGTAAAGACTCACAATTCCAGGGATCTGACTTTTTGATAATGAGACACTCAAGTAGTTTGCAATGGTTCATTAATAAATATTTTTTTCATTGTTGGTCGAGTGTCAGTGATTAAGCAATATACTTACTCCTTGATTATATGTTTTCTTCCAACTTGCCAAGTTTATTGTGGTTTTATATCCATTATTGTCATATGCGCACTGTTCTCCAAGAAATAATTTTAGTGATTTTACAGCTTAAAATTTCTGTAATTCTAAAAACCTAGGTGTTCAAAAACTGTTCCTTTTACTCTCAGAGTTGTTAGACTGGAGTTTGCTGTGAGAATTATAACAAAATGCAAAACAGAGGCAAAAACTAGAAAGCATAGACCACCCTGCAGCTAAAAATGAATGACAAGTACATGAGTACTGCCCATTTTTCAGTGTACTATAATAAGAAACAGTCCTGAAGACCTGTTGCTTTCCAAAAGATGTTTAGTTTGATTGTGCTGCCTGGAAATTAATTGAACAGCTTTTAAAGAAAGTGGCATGCTTGTTTATGCAAAAAACAATCAAGGAGTAATTTCTTCCCTTCTGCTTGTTTTTCAGTACAGTGGGTTAGTTCCACGGGAGAGCTGGGACATGTGGCATCCAACCCTCGTGGCTGAGGCCCTGTTTGCAATCGCAAACATCTTTAGCTCCCTGCGCTTGATCTCATTATTCACTGCAAATTCTCACCTGGGACCTCTGCAGATATCTCTAGGAAGAATGTTGCTGGACATTTTGAAGTTTCTCTTCATATACTGCCTTGTGCTGCTAGCTTTTGCAAATGGATTGAACCAGCTGTATTTCTACTATGAGACAAATGAACCTGGCAACTGCAAAGGAATACGATGTGAAAAGCAGAATAATGCATTTTCAACGTAAGTGGCTGATCTATTTCTATCCTTCCATTCTGCCTCCAGGATTTTAGTCACTTAGATGTTTACACAAGAGAGGCTGTCTGTTTTCTGTTGGTTATTACAGTGGTGTCCTGACAGACACATCTAGAATTATCCTAATAAAAAAAATAAATATTAACATTATATCATTATGCAATAATGTTCATCCCATGCCACAGTGAAGTCTGTACAGTTCAAGATACCTCAAAAGATAAAAAGATAAATAAAGAGGAGGGGAAGATAATATGATATTAGAATGCACATATTTAGAATGAAGGGTAAAAAGGTCACCAGATCAGAGCTTTCTTATCCAGGCAGCTGATGCTCTGCATTTTTTCCCTGTCTACTTGTGGGCATTAAATAAGTTTAGTGTTTTAAAACATGAAGATTCCTTGTAAATGTGATAAATTGGGGCAGTAAAAAATGTTTGGTACAGGCTTCTACCCTGACCCTATTCCACATAATCAAATACTGTATTGCAATTTCTGCTTAAAAATTATTTATTTTTCCTTCACTTAAAAATCAATTTTACTTCACCCTCTTCTGTATTTCATCTCTAGTACCAAAACACTGCTAAATAAATACTGATTCTCTATCTTGTCTTTCAACTTCCAATTTGAATCAAACTCCTGCTATAAATACCTGTTCCCTATCACCTTCTATGAATCATACCTAGGCTGTATTTAAAATATATTTGTTACCAATGGCTTCCTTCTCAAATAAATAATTTTATAAAAATAGTACCTTTTATGTCATCTTATTCAAGCAACTTTGCTCAGGCACAGCATATTTATCTTGTATATTAATAACAACTTATTGGGTCTAAACTTTGTGTGATCTGAACAGAAAAACACAGGGAAAATTTTCAGTGCTGAACAGAGAGAGAAGCAATATTATTAATCTGGGAAACAGTGAGGCCTACCAGTACTAGTGTCATAGAAGTTTTTAAGGAAAACTGCGATGCCTTATGAGCCCCTCCTGCAACTGTGAACTGAGGAGAAGAGTAGTTGTTTGATTTGTGCTTAGACAGATAAAAACCATACAAGAGACTCCAGAGCACTACTTTACCACTCATATGTGCTCTAGTAAAGGAACAGTGATTCAGGACCTAGAGTTTCTATAAGCAAAAGCATACTGCTCTCTAAGGTATCTCCAGTGTGAAAGGGGCTGAAGAGTTAAGTTTTGCCCAGTTCTGGACAGCAGGTCCCAGCGTGCAAGACAGCCCAAGGTGGTACAAGTCTGCAATTCAGGAGCCTCCCTGCTCCAGGTGCCACATCCCAGCTGGGTCACCTGCTTCTGGTGTTGAGGTGAAGGAGCAGGAGAGACGCCGTGGGGAAAGCTCACTCTAATTAATCTCAAGATATAGGACCAGGGAAGCAGAAAAATTCACTCTAATCTTTTCAGGAGCAACAGGTCTAACCAGGACCCGTGCTTATGGCACTGTAATGTAATTAAACATTGTACTAAAGTGAAATTATGTCAAGCTATATAGTTGCAGCTGATTTTTTTTTTTTAAGTTGATCATTATTAGTGAGCTTCCTAGCTGTTTTGTCAAACTTCTCAAAGGGAATATCACAAAATTTCGTTATAAAAGCACAAGTTTCATTTGAAAGCAGCATGTCTGTTTTTAAATGACTCCATTCTTTGCAAAACAAAACATATGCTAATGGTAATAACGTCTTTCTAATTATACAACTCCTATTATCTCAGTGTCTTTCAACACAAACCAGAAATTTCATAAACTGACAGTACCAAGTAGGTATGAGGATATCATAGTTTTTTTAACATCTTAGTGAAATGCAGTCATTCACTTAGTTTTGGATCCTTATTCTCCCTTCAGTAGTCAAGGCAAAGGGTCAATATGCTTCAAAGGCAGGTGTCCAGGCCAAGACCGCTAAAACTATATTTATCGCTCAGCTTGAACAAAACCAGCCTTTTACTCACAGGTTTATTTATGGATTCAGTATTGTATATCTGGAGGCTCAAATCTCAAACATTAAGCCATTGTTTCCCAGAAGGATATTCCATATACGTGTTTGCATCATTCATCTCAATCAAGGCAAGGATTTTTGTGTGTTTGGGGAAAAAGTGAACAATCTGGAAAGTGTGTGTATTGTTATTATACAGCTATTCCTTTTGGATTTTGTTTTTCAGATTATTTGAAACACTGCAGTCATTATTCTGGTCTATATTTGGACTCATCAACCTCTATGTGACCAATGTGAAAGCAAGGCATGAATTTACTGAATTTGTTGGGGCCACCATGTTTGGTACCTATAATGTAATCTCTCTGGTTGTTCTGCTCAACATGCTAATAGCCATGATGAATAATTCTTACCAACTTATAGCTGTAAGTTTTTCCTTATCTTTAGATGCTTTATAAGATACACCCCTTCTCTCTGTTCCCATTTTCCTGGGAGCAAATAGTTTTTACACACAAGATATTGGGACAAGTTCTCTGATTTATTCAAATCCTTTTACACTATTCTGGAAAGACACAGAAACCAGACCCTTGCTAGGTGGGGAAATTCTCTGAATGGGGAAGAGGTAGTCCTTCTGCAGAACCAGCTCATGAGTTGAGAAGGGTGTATTGAGGCTGCTGGCAAGCGACATGAGCTACAGCCCTGCCCATGCTGCCCAGCTGCACTGTGCAGGACCTCTACTGACAAAGTGACTCTGCCAAAGATTCTTCTGTCTTTGCTTTATTTTAAGACATTATATTTATTAATCTTTAAAAGACTGTTATTTTTGGATTTTTATAGAACATGTATATACAGTTAATGTAAATTGGATGCCCACGTTTCATAGGCAATTTCAGACCGATTCTCAATTCAAACAGATCATGACTTCTGTTCAGCAGTGTCCTGTTTTCTCTTTTAATGAAAACTGTCTTGATCTTTATCAGAGCTATTGGCTTATTTTTATTTCTCAGTTGTCTGTTAAGGACACTAATGAAAATAAACACTGATTCACCATTTGATAATTCAAATGCAGAAAGCAAACAAATAAAAGAAGGCTTCCCAGTGTTAAGATTTTTAAATGTTCTTTCTTTCTAATCTGGAAATTACAAGCTGTCGTGGTTCAAATTGACTGGGACAGAAAATTGTGCCGGTCTCAAGTTCAGTCTTCTGCCTACTCCCATTTCCACTATGATGTGGAAGGAGAAAATTCAACTGAAAAAGCTCAAGTGTTGAGATTAAGGATAGGAAGGGTAATAATCTGTCATTTAAAATGGCAGGTAAAGAACCAGAGAGACTTGAGGAGAAAACCAAATTTAATTCACGACCACCATTTACAAAGTAGGATAGTAAGAGGAATACATCTGTAAATACGATTCGATCTTAAATACACCCCCTCACACACTCCTCCCATTTTCCCAGCTACCTCCTCCCCCTCCATCAGTGCGAAGAGGGCAGGGGGTGGGGGATGCAATCTATCAGGCCATTAGTCATCGTCCGTGGCAGCTCCTGCTTGAGGAAGAGGGCTCTTCGCAGTCTCTCCTTCGTGCCACGTGGTGTCCACCTCACAGGAGGCAATCCTCGTCCTCCTCGTGAGTCCATCAGGGCCACTGATCACTTTGGGCATGTCCTCTGCTGATGTTTGTTTACTCTCACCTCTCACATGGGGCTCTGCATGTACTGATGTATCCTGGACGTTCTCGCTTCTATCTGTCTCCCCAGCTGGCAGGCAATCACCTTCCCACCATCTCAGCCACCACGAGGCTCCAGGGAAACGTCCTGCTCCAGCAGGCTTCTTCTTCTCCTTCTCTGGGTCTCTTCTCCTCCTCTCTCTTCTCAGGATCGCATTCCTTTGTTCTCTCACCTCCCTCTCCTCCAACAGAAAAACTCCCTAACATTAAAGACAGGGCAGCTCAATATGAGACGAAACTAAAAAAGTGAAAGAACAATGGGGTCGCCTCTTAAATACCTTGATCTCAGAGGCACTGATCAGCCTGGCCCTGGCCAGAGGCAGGTCCAACTCCTACCTGGAGGTGGGGAAGGCTCTCAAAGCTTCACACAAGTCTACCTCAGCTTTTACAAAAACCCTACCAGACTCAAACCTATGACACAATTTTTTTCACAGGAAAAAAAAAAAGACTACATGTGTTTATGTTACTCTAGATGGCAAAGTCTGATACACACTTTCACAAAATGCTATCATTCATCAAAACTCAGACTGCAAGTAGAATATTTTTCCTTCTACAACTTCTAAATTATTATTTTGATTACCTCATATCTGGCTAAATATTAAAGGCTAAGGCTAGACTTACAGTTTACATTCTTGACTACTATGTTGGTTGTCCAAACACAACTTAAACTTCTTGTTAAGCTGCTAGGGTTTAGCAATCTTCCCATGGACTTTAGTTTTGACTTTTTTTCAAACTTTTCAAGGTTATACAATATTACATAGAATCCAAAAGAAATATAATTTCAAATAAAAATACCCCCCCCAACCTGTTTCAAATAGATTATTCTGAAGTTGAAGGAATAAAAGATACTCAACACTTTTAAGTAGCCTCGTGATTTGTTGGATAACCTATTTGTGAAGTTCTGGGGCTGACAATTACTGAGAGAGTGCATCAGACATACAGACTTGTTGAAGCTTCTGCACATCAGAGTAATTAGAGTGATCTATGTGGAATAATGATGAACTGCTATTATAACAAAACATCTATTCCAGAAATGTAGCATTTTCCTGCTTGTAATTATCTACTGTTGTTTGAGACACTTTTAATTATTTAAAAGCTGGTAGCAAGAAAGAAAGGTTGAAAGTGGAAATATACTGTACATACTTAACATCTCTCTACAAAAGTAAAGCAGCTTATCTTTCCTTTGTTTTAAAGACCTTCTGCCAAAAGAATATGCCAGTATTTTAACAAGAAATTTCATTAGTATTTCAGGGTTGTTCTAATTATAGTTTTCAGATTTTTGTGGAGATTTTTTTTACCTCCTTAATTACAGCAACATCTGTGCTGATGGTGTGTTTCTTGTATGCAGGATCATGCAGACATTGAGTGGAAGTTTGCTCGAACAAAACTCTGGATGAGTTACTTTGAAGAAGGGGGAACTCTGCCCACTCCTTTTAATGTCATACCAAGCCCAAAGTCCCTGTGGTATCTGATCAAATGGTTATGGAGACACCTTTGCAAGAAAAAAATTAGAAGAAAGCCTGAAAGCTTTGGAACTATAGGGGTAAGTCTTGTGTTTTACTCTGCCTGTAGTTCTTCTCTTTGCTCTAAAGATGAGCCTTCTCAGCCTTACAGGGCATCTGAACTGTCAGATAATGTGCATATGAGAATAATTCTAGCACAGTATATTTATTTTTTACATTCATGTCAATGTATTTGAAGAGAAAGTACCATCATATTCCTGTGCAATGACAAGATGAACTATGACAGCCTAAACTACAGATAATGCAAGAAGGTTTAAGAGCAATACAGATACAAGAGATCAAATGTGTATACTTGTCTACCAATCCCAGAGGTGTGGTTGGTGATCTCTAGCTCGGGTGTCACAGTTCAAGTATCACTGATGTATCATGAACCACAGACTGGTGTATGAAGTATCCATAATGGGATATTCTCTGTCTCTCTGACTCTCTCTCTTTATGTGTAATGAAAAGGGTTTACCATAAAAGCATTCTTACCAAAAGCTGTTCCCATTAAATAAAACATTTTGAAAGATAATAGCATTTACTAGGAATTGTTCATTTGAGTTTATAGATAGAGTTATCTTAGAATCACATTGGTACTCTGTTCTGACAGTGCTGATTAACAGTGAAATTTCTAGAAAAAAAAAAAAGAGAAGAAAAAGACACCGAAGGAGAGCAAGAATAGTCCTACACCTGGATTCAGCAGATGCCTGTATAATATCCCAGCCACAGACTTGCTCTGGTAGCTCTTGGGTAAAGCAGATTTGAGTTTGTTCCTTCTAGCTTTACCTAGTTGAGTTACCTCAGTCAGCAGCACGGTTTTTCTGTACTGTCAGAGGAAATATCCAGACAATACCCAATCCACCAACCACTAAGTCTCCCTAGTTGTTTTCTACATTTCTCATAGTAAGTCAGTACCTCAGTAACTACACCGTATTTAGCCAGCTCAACATAAAGAAACTGTGGGTAAAATGTGGCTCCCTATACCATAGAGATTTGCTGAATGAAAATGTTTTTGAGTCTCTTAGGAACTCGGATAGCAAAGCCTTAAGTGAGAATATAAGAGTGTCATGTGTGGCTAAGAGGAAGAAGAAAGAGTTATAGTCCTCATGACGCTGACCCTCGTAGAAAAATTTCCACTCATTTCAAAGAAACCAGGACATACTATAAAATTCTTTGCTGGACAATTACTCTATTGACCTTTTCTTTCTATTTTTCCCCAGTTTCTTGAGAAGTGAGTAATAAGAGTAAGATTTTTTTACGTATTCTCCTGTCATATCCTAGCATTCAGTTTAATTGTGAGATATACCTGGAGGAACAAGTTCACAGTACATATATATATGATAAAGAGGAAAAGTGACATATAAAACTAATTCAGAGTTCTTTTGCTGATGAATGGATTTTATCCTCTTTGTGGAAACCTTCTAAACAGGCTTATTGCAGTCTTGTTGGTTAGTATCTACATTGTGAACACAAAATATGCTTCACTTAGCTGTCACACTTGTAGATAGAAGAGAAAAAGACTGGAGTGATGCCAGTGTATAGCAGCTGACAGACTAGGACTGGTTAGCACAATATCCCTGTTTGACTGAGAGAGATCCAGAACATCCTTATACATCCCTGCAAAACCTTCAAGACAATATTTTCTGTCAGGCATTCCATCCAGGATAAATGATATTCTTTTCCTTCTCAAAATGCAGCTCTGGGAGTAAACTCATTCCTGACTCTGTGGAATACTAAAGAAAGAGGCAGGGTGTTCTGAGCTCCATGCTGAATGGCATGGTGAGGAAGGAGGTTCAGAAAGAGCACCCCTGGTTTCTGTGGCCAGCTGCTGCTGAGGTATATAAATACCACCCTCTAGAAATTAGCAGCTTGGGTCTTGGAAAACAGATGCAGCAAAATGTGAAAAGCGCAGGACATCTATGCAGAGAGCTGGATGGGAATTTTTTCAAAAAAATGGGAAAAAAAAAATCAAAATCCTTAACCCCAAGCAGTTTAAAAGATGTTTATGTTGGAAAAGACTTCTTACGTTCAAGATGGAATTTCCTTTTGGAGATAGAAGAAGCAGGTGCGAAGTAAAGCAAGTAGCTTGTCATCAGGGTGACTCAGGTTCTACTTTCCATTGGTTATTTAGTTATTTACCCTAAGCAGAATAGTTTTGAGAAGAGATATTTCCATCTTAAAATCATTAAGATACCAGGGTGGAAAAGGTGCTCTCTTGGGAGAACAAAAGAGAAGAATCTGAACCTGGTGGGAGAACAAAAGAGAAGAAGCTGAACCTGGTTTCCTTGTGATTTGAATGTGAAGCACTAATTACTGAACTGTTTGGGCATGGAGGACATAGGTGAGGGAGAGATGTAAGACATTTTTGGTTAATATCTGTAGAGTAAATTTTAAAAAAAAATTGTTTGATGAGAGAAAGCTGAAATCCCAAAGTCTGTGAGACAATAGGGCCATATATATCACTAGTATCCACTACAGAATAGGTAGCTAGCTGCAAGTACAGCTGAAACCTCTCTGAAGCAGAGAGCTTCCAGATTCACTCCACACATCTGGGCATCTCATAAAACTGCAAAGTTCTTCAGCTCGCTCTTTGCTATAACAGAAGCCCTATTAGCGCTATCTGAATTTGGAACATCTTGCAATTTCTAGGCCTAGTTATGCACCCAGGCTTCAAAAATGGCATATGGTGTGGCTATGCACTGTGTGCTCTGGTTTCCACATTAGGGAAATCTGTCCATACCCATCAGAGTGTGAGAGCCACTAGTCACTCCAGCAGTCAGGTCTACACACCGTGTGGGTAGATGTAAACCAGATGCTGTTAACTGGGTTTTACCGAAGAAGTAGTCGGAGAACAAATAGGCACATCATGGTGATCTCACGGTTTGTCCTGGGGGAATGCACTGCTTTCTGGTTTTGAAAAACTTACTCCCATCGTCCACAGCTTAGCCTTGTGTTCTCAGAACTTTTTCAATTCTCCTAACAAACTGCATCACAAATTAGATTTGGAACCTCTATGCCCTTTTGAACAAAGGGAAATGAAGTGTTTTCTTTGCCTTTTGTTCGGGGATTTGAGATGCCAGCTCTCTGACTCCAGATTACTGGAATCTCCCCTGTAACAACTTTGGCCTCAGAACTGTAATATAAGCTTTACTGGGACCTAGTTCTTTTCACTGAGTCTTATTCCTTCCCTATACTTTTTCCTACTACTTGGGGAAAAAACACTGTAGACTTGGTTTCAGACTGATTTTCTTATATTGGCTGTATGTATGGATGTCATGTTGTCTGCAAGGCAGAACTCAGTTTCAAAACATTGTATTGTGAAGTGTCTAAATGCTAACTTTCCTATGTTACGTACTATGGGATGTACTATGGTGTTTTCCAGTAGAAAAAGCAATTGTGAGCATCTAAAGGCTGAGTCGTTGCTAGAGGATACAAAACAGATGATATGCAGAATGGAGCTGATTTGTTAAAGACAGCATTTTTCAAGGATCAGGCATGATAACTGCATAAAAACCCCTCTACCATAAAATGTGGAATGATGATCTAGGAATGAACTAAGAACTAAATATATCACCAACAATTCTCTGTGAAAATATGTATGCATATGCATTTGAAAGCTCGTTGTATGCAGACAAAACTTGCAAAGAAAGAGTTCAGGGTCGGGATAGTTTACAGCAGATGTAATAGTGAAAGGATTTATCTGGCTCATATGAATAAGAAAAATATCAGTCGAAGTAAGTAGGACATGGTTGCTTGGGAGGACCATCTACAGTGCTGCTTGTAACAAAGCTGTCACAAGAAAGAACAGGGTCTGTGGGGAAGCGAAAGGCCTCTTAAGAGAGCTGATGAATTTGCTCCTCCTTGGGTATCATTTCTCTGGTTCTGCCATCCTTTGTTCTACTGGGACAGTTGAGGCAGTGGGTGGTGGAGTCAAGGGGAACTTTTTCAAGGCACGAGTTTTTTTCTCCAAAGCAACACATTGCCCAGATGATGGTAGCTTCTCTAGCCACAGGTGCAGCTGAAGGAAGGTCAGATGTTCTCATGTGATTTACTAATACTTTAGCTCTGCCATTAATCAGACAGAGATATTCTACCTTTCAGATTTCAACACATTTTTATTTTCTGTCATTTTGACACGCCCCAGATATGCTGCATTCTCTTTAGCTATTATCACAAAGTATCTCCTACACTTAAAACTCTGAAATAACAGTGTGTGCTGCTCTTTGTGTATATATATATACACACACCAATTCTGTTAACTTTGTCAGCTCACCTTTGCAAAAGGCAGATTAGCAATGTAATTCTATCGATTAGACTGAAGTTTTCCTGGTTGCCCAAGGCTTTTGAGTGTCTCCAGGATACTCCTGTTGACCACCTGAAATCCACTACTATTTCAAAAAAAGAAGAGACTTAATAAAAAAAAATCTGAATCCCACTGCAATAATTTGTACTATTTTCCTTAAATTATATTCCACTTTATATCTGATCGGTCACCCAAAATGTGTTTTACCTATAACATTAAGTATTTCAGAGATGAAAATGGACTGTCAGTACATTTTTTTGTGCATCTAGATAAACTGTTACCTTTTTTCTAGCTATCCAGATTTTTATGCTGTTTTTCCAAGCAACCTACATGATAATTACCACCATTTGTCAGAGAAAATCTTCTCTCCCCGTCTCCTGTTCTTTGTTCTCCAGGTGGGAAATGATGCAACTCCTAACTCAACATAAGTGTTCTGCATTTTCTGTGTAATGTGAGTTATTAAAAGTCGAGTAAAAAAAAATAACACCTTCCACCTGGAATGGATATCAGTAATAAGGAGTGTTTGTTCTACAGCCAAGGACCATCTCATTGGGAAACCTCTTTGTCAACACAGATAAGCTCTTACCCTTTTTATGGGTAAGATTCTATTCAAGAGAAGGAATATATTCCATGATTTCAGTCAATATTTACATTTTCTAGACCTTTATCACTAAGCAATTTGAGGTCAAATGCAGACATTAAGTTTGAATTTCTGCTTTATGTAAGATAACATTTTGATAAAACACTTCTAAAGAAGTAATTTAACGTTATGAAATTTTTGACTACTAAAGAGATTTTTCTTCCAAGCAGTGCAGATTAGTAGGAATGGAATAAGCAGGAAGACCAAAATAATTATCCCTACTAGCAGAACTATTATTAAAAATTCCTAAAGAATGTTAGTGCCCGCTTTCGAAAGTGGTAAAAGTATCCCCTTCAATTTTGTGATCTCCTACAGCATTGTCACCAGAAGACTGTTTCTTCCCCTGTTGTTATTTTTAGTCAGATTTAACTTTTGTCTTTTTGTCAGCCATAGTTTTCAACACGTCTTCATCCACATAGCACCACAGCTGAAACAAGTTTTGAACAATTGCAAATCAGGCTATGATCAGGTAGAGAAATGCAAACTGGCTGAGAACGAAGTAAGGATGATATGAGTGTTAATGACATGTTATTTGTAGTGAATAGCTTGATTTTCAGATGTATTTAAAGAGAGATTCATTTTGCTTTCAGAAGGAATCAGAAAGTAGTTATGAACTGGAAATTGAATCTGAACATTTAAACAGGAGATTGAGAACTGATGGGGGTAATAACTTTGCTAAGTTATGTGTGTGCGTAATTCCCTGTGCAGTACGTATGTGTCTGTGTAGGAGAACACACCATTAAATGAATTCTCTTTCACCTTCTCAGTGGTATGGACTGAAAATTGTTAAGTTCAGTAGAACTGCTCTGTACACATTACTACACAAATATATTTGATTACATAGTCATCCCAAATTGCACCGGTTGATATTACGTTGAGTGGAAAAGACATTGCATTGAGTGCTTCTAGGAGTTTCAGAATTGGTTGCCAAAAAAAGGATAAATCTGATTAAGCTTTTTCTTGTTATGGATACAGAATTAAACTTATGCTTTTATTTCATGTTTTACTGTAAAATAAACCAGAGCAGACAGCAACTGCAGAAAGAATACTGTAAAATAAACCAGAGCAGACAGCAACTGCAGAAAGAATTCTGTGAAATAAGAATCAATATTTGTTTTATTTATAGTAGCTTTACCTGAACTGAAGTGTGTTTCAATTACGTCTTAAAGTGTTTTTCCCTTTACCTGTGAGTCAGGTCTGTTATTTAGCGCTTGCTTAGCCACAGACTCCATTAGTGCTTCCTCAG